GGGGGGTTTTTTTTTTTTTTTTTTTTTTTTTTTTTTTTGGGGGGGGGGGAGGCGGAGGGTTGGTTTGTCAAGCAATATTTTTCAAAGGCATGAAATAGGAAATTGTCCCTGAATGCTTAGCCTATGTCTAGGGACACAAATGAATCCAATTGCTTATTTTGTTTTTTTATTTTTAGAACTCGAGTTGAGTTTGACTAATTCTTTCAAAAGAACCGGACTCAAATTTATATTCAAGTTTAAACTTTACTTTAGACTCTGTTTAAACTCAAGTTCAACTTATACATATGTTTAGGAGTATATGATTCAAACAAGTCATCATTTGTCAAATTCAGCTCTTTTACTNTTTAGACTCTGTTTAAACTCAAGTTCAACTTATACATATGTTTAGGAGTATATGATTCAAACAAGTCATCATTTGTCAAATTCAGCTCTTTTACTTAACTAGTATATAAAACTGGTTAAAACCGATTACTAAATAAAATTTAAACGATCTCTAATCTGAGTCGATCCCCTCCCAGTTTTTCATGAACAACGTGGTTAGATTATAGGCATACTTATTTATGTTTAAAAGAAGTGTTGCAATTCAAGAACAAAGTGAGAACTTGAAAGGTCCAAGACAGAATGAAAAAGAGAAGACCTAATATAAGGTTTGCTTGTACAGACCCTCCACAAAAGGCATAATCTTTCCGTGATCGATGGAAGGAAAGGAAAAGTTGGTTTATTATAATGATTGACGTGAAAGATGGGGGATTCTGCCGTAAAATGAGATCCATAGCTTTATATCAAAGCCATAGAAATTTGGAAGCAAAAGACATTACAAAGAATATCGCATTTTAAGGTTTTCCTGACTAAGAAATGTTTTGCCTCAATGCTTTGTTTGGATGTCCATTTGGGTAATGATGCCGTGTTGGATTGGAAACACAAATCTGCGGGGTATATTGGTAAGGTATATTTTCTAGAATTAAGCATTGAGGAAGAAATTTGTAGGATGATTTACATAACAAGAGATTCTCGTATTTTCAGTTCAGATATAATATATTAGTGTTATGAGTGCAATATACAGAAAGTGTATACTCTTTTTTTCAATACGGTTAACATGTAAGTGAGCGGTTGATATATATATACTATGGGTATAAAAAAAATTGTTGTGGTTAATGTAATTATGGTTAATAATTATTTTTTAAGAAAATATGATTAATAATTGTTGTGGTTAAAATATTTACCATGGGAATAATATATAGTTTGGAAAATTAGTCATTGGATGTAAGCGATCTGAACAATTGTTTTAATTTATATTTAAAAGATGCCTATTCTACTATTATTTTTATTATTCTTAGCATATATATCNAATTAGTCATTGGATGTAAGCGATCTGAACAATTGTTTTAATTTATATTTAAAAGATGCCTATTCTACTATTATTTTTATTATTCTTAGCATATATATCATCTTAGTCGCGGGGGGAGGCGGAGCCACATGAGGACCAAGGTGGGCACTTGCGCCTCCCTCCTGAAATTTTTAAAAATTTCAATAATGGTTATAATCTTTTCTTTTTTCAATAAATTAGTGGTCCACTAACCTTATAAAATAAGTGTTTTATTTTTGGATTAAATAAATCAGATGTAACTATCTAGATCTATTTGTATATTGACCGAAAGACAATATTTCTCTTTATCTAACACAATATTCGTTACTTTTTAAAAATAATTTTTAGTTTTTATAGTCTATAACCCAATAAAATACGATTATATACAAAAGACAAAATTTTGTAACCTAAAAATATTTCAAGCTATTTCAAGTAGAGAATTTCTCTATAAAATTAATAATGATCTTAACTAAGTTTTACAACTAAATGAAGAATGATTTTACTATGAACTTGTGATTTCTTGCATTGATAAAAAAAAATAATAAAAAATTAATTTATATTTAATTAATATACAAAATTTTAGAAATTTTAAAGAATGTTATATTTTATTGAAATATTTTAAAAATTTTAAAGAACGTTATATTTTATTGAAATATATAATTGAGTTAAAATGTATTAAAAATTATTTTATGTCTTTTTGTTAAGCAAAATAAATTTTAATTTACTATTTCACAACAATTTTGCTTTGAGTCTTAATTTCTTGTCATTCTTAAACTTAATTTTTTTTATCAACTAATAAATTATTTTAAGTTATATTTTAACCTCTTATAGATTTTCTTGGCTCTGCCCGTAAATAGCTCAAAATATATACACAGGAGATCCTAGATCCACAATGTACTACACCATGAATTGAAATTGATAGAAAGTAAATTTGAAGGGTTCCAAATCCCGCGAAGCACTCATAAACTATACCTATTTGGTTGTGAAGATTTAGGTAAGAAAAACTAATAAAAAAATGGGAAGGCAGTCGCTATGGAAAGCTAGAGTAATGCAGAAATGTCAATTTTTGCATGTGATTTTTTGTTTCCTTTATTCCAACCATTTTTTTGAATTTGAATTTTTCTTTTTAATTAATTAAGCATTAGAAAAGTATACAAT